GTGTCAGTGAGGGGTGTTGTGTGGAGGGTGAGGGGTGTCAGTGAGGGGTGTTGTGTGGGGGTCAGTGAGGGGTGTTGTGTGGAGGGTGAGGTGTGTCAGTGAGGGGGTGTCAGTGAGGGGTGTCGTGACGATTCCCTGTTTATGTCCACGGTGGGTCCCGCTGGGGGCTCGTACAGTGTTCACGGCCCGTATTTGTTTGTTCCGCGACACGCGGGCCTGTGCGTGTCGGCTGCGGGATTGCACACGCGTGTCGATCTCCTCTGCCTCTCGCTCCCGCCTCGTGCCACCCACCCGCGCGAGCACGGCGCACCCTCTGTGAGTCTCTGTGTCTTTTTTTTCCCTAAGTGACGTAAACAAAACACACGAAACTCGGCCGGCTGTGAGTTTCCCAGCGCACCTTCAGCGACACTCCCACGCACTGCTGGTCACGAAGCCGGGGCGGGGCGCGGCGTGGCGGGGACAGCCTCTCCGCTCCGACCGGAAACGAGCAGGAGAGAAAGGGGCACAGACAGGCGCCAATAACCAAGCGAGCTGGAGCTCAGAAACCGGATCCGGCGCCTGTCCTCTCCCACTCGCCCACTCGCTTCCCCCCGCAGCCGGTGCAGGCGCGTCACGCGGCGTCCCCGGGCGTGACGGGTCCGCGAGCGCAGGCGAGGGGGCGGGGTCTCGCGCCGGCCGCGCTCGGGAGGCGACACAATAAGCGGCCGCCCGGCTGCACGAGAGCCAGACGGAGCAGCGCGGGTAGCGTGGAAGTGCGTGTCCGGGAGGTGAGCCGGGGCCCCGCGATCGCGGCTTTCATCGTGAGCACGGGCGGAGCGGTTCGGGTTCGGGCACGGGCCCTAGCGGAGCTCTAGCGGAACCGTGCCGGCCGGCTCCCCCCTGTTCGGAAGTTTCGGGAGCAGCGAATTCCAGGCGGAACCGCGGGTCCGCGGCCAGCAGCGGGCATGGCCGCCTTCGCCTACTCGGACTACCTCGCCGCAGAGTGCCTGGTCTCCATCTCCAGCGGCCCCGTGCTGCACCGACCCTCCCCGATGCCGGCGGGACCCCCGCCCCCGCCGCGGCCCGGGGAGCCCGAGGGGTCCAGCGAGGACCGGGAGGTTCGGGAGACCCTGAAGGACGGGGCGAACCTGATGACGGTGGCCGGGATCCTCACCGACCTGCACAACAAGTTCCGACCCATGTCCGCGTACTCGGAGAGCAGCAACTCCTCGCTGGGCGACCCGGACGGCAGCCTGTCGTGCGGCGAGAGCGGCTACACCACGCTGTCGGACTCCGCCACGCCGACCCCGGGCCAGCAGGGCGGGGCGGAGGGCAGAGCGGCCGCCGGCCTCGCCCGCTCCCCCGTGAAGCGACACCCCTGCTCCTTCGAGGGCTGCGACAAGGTCTACGGGAAGTCCTCGCATCTGAAGGCGCACATTCGGACACACACAGGTACGCGCCCGTGTTCGCGGGGGTAGTGGACGCGGGCGGCGTGTCTGCTGTCTGCGTGGCTCCGCGGGGTGGGGGTGACCCGGGTCCGAGCTGTGCGCGGCTGACCCGCCTCTCCCTGCTGGGCGACACGGTTATCGCGCCGCGGCGGCGTGGTGGGGGATGAGCTACCGTCTCGCCGCGTCTGAGCGCCCACCCCCACTCGTGTTTCTGAAGAGGCGTGTTTGGTGCGTGTTGGTGGAGGGGTCACCGCAGCACAAAGACGAGACACAGCGCGTGAGCCCGACAAAGACCCGCGGCCGCTGTCCGGCCGGACAAAGAGGTGCAGGGGCCCGGGTGGGCTCGGCGCGCTGGGGGCTGCCCCCCCCACCAGACTGACACCCCCGCTGAGCTCCGCCTTCGTGGGCCCGTCTCTCCCGGAACAGTACACAGCGCGAGTGTTCATTTCCCTGGAGCTCCGCTGTCTGTAGAGCAGGAAGGGGGTGTTGTGGGTGGGGGTTGTGGTTGGGCTTGTTGTAATTACTGGTCCTGACCTGTAGGGGTCACCCTAGAGCACCTTCAGGGCTCTTGTCCCCCCCCCCTGTGTGAGGAGATTAACTGTGTAGGCAGAGGGGTCCAGCGCTTGCTGGTGTGCAGGAGAACAGCGCCCCTCAGTGGCTCTTCTCAGCGCTGCAGGAGGGGGTGGGGTTCCCCTGTGGCTCTGCAGACTCTGAGCAGGAGTTCTGGACTTGCTGGTCCTGAACTGGTGGTTTATGGGGTCCTGGCTGGGGACTGCCACTCCAACAGCTGCGGCACACTGTAATACCTGGAGCGGATCGGGCTGCTGCGCACTGGGAGTCCCGGCTCCCTGTACAGAACCAGGCGGGTCCACGATAGTCTGGGCTGTGGCGCCGGCGGGCAGAGCAGGAGACGTGTTGGTGGGAGGGGATCAGGCAGAGCGTCTCCTGCACCTGCAGGCCCTGTGCACACCTGGCAGAGCCGCAGGGGGCGTGTCCAGACACCCGAGACAGCTGGGCACGTGTGCGCGCGTGGGGTGTCTGGGACTGGCTGAACTGGTTGGACTGGGACAGAGGGGTGTCTGTGTTTATCGTATACCTTGCAGAAACGTGACTGAGGTTTGATCTGGGTGATCCGTTGCTCAGTTCCTGATACAGCGGCCCCCCTCCCCCCAGGTGGGGCTTGGCAGCAGGCCGGGGGAGGAGACTCCTGCTCCTCTGTTTAACCCCTTTCCTGTACTAAAGACAGATAGGCAGATGCTAGAGGGGCGCAGGGCTGTTGTTTTGGGGTTACAGCATGCCGATGTCCTGGCCGGGCTGGGGGCAGTGCGGCCAGTCCAGTTCTGGGCAGCTGACAGGGGGCTGGTTTGTGTGCGTCGGGGGTCAGTGGGCTGCGGCTCTCGGGCACTGTGTGGCGCTGTGAGTAACTCTCTCTCTCTCTCTCCCTGCCAGGCGAGAGGCCCTTCCCCTGCACCTGGCCCGGCTGTGCCAAGAAGTTCGCCCGCTCGGACGAGCTGGCGCGGCACACGCGCACGCACACGGGCGAGAAGCGCTTCGTCTGCCCGCTCTGCAACAAGCGCTTCATGCGCAGCGACCACCTGGTGAAGCACGCTCGCCGTCACCCCGACTTCCACCCCGCCCTGCTGGCGCGGCCCCCCGGCAGGGCCCAGGCTCTCTGAGGGGCGCGCCCCGGACCCCGTCGCCGCCCCGCCCCGAGCCCCCTCTCCCCCTCGTTCCACAGCCAGACAGGGGGGGCTCTGCGTGCGGCTGGGGCTCCGGTCGCCCCCAGACTGAACCTGTGCCGTTTCCCGGGAATGGGATTCCGGGATGTCCTGCGGACCGGAGAGGGTAGCAGTGTCGCCCACACGCTGTGGGCAGGGGGAGAGGGGGGGCGCCTGTCCAAGTCGGGCCAGCCTGCGCGCTCTGCCTCTTCGCCACAGGGAACCGGGAGGGACTCTGGGAACCGCCGCACGGAGCTCCACACATCCAGGGCCGCCATGATCTCCGGGAGCAGGGGTTGCCGGACGTCTCTGTCTCTGAACTCTCTCCGCCTTGTGGGCAGCATCGGCCTGCGGGCACAGCACAGCACCGCCTCCCTCTGTCTCGGAAGCAGCCCGCCCTGAGCCTGCAGCGCCCCCTGCTGTTGCGGTGGCACCGAGGCAGAGGTGCCGGTCAGTGCTGGGCAGGCTTTCTGACTGCAGCAGGAGATGGCTGGTACTGTGGGCGCAGTACGAGCTGTTGGCAGTTCTAGTATAACTGCTGTAGTTTGTGATTTGCAGCAGGTGAAGAGGAGAGTGAGTTGCTCTGCCCACAGCCTTGACAACCCGTTTGATACTGGAAATGGCCCTACTGGTCAGCGCTGGCAGTCCGGCAGCACCGGGCCTGGCTGGCCAGTGACGATCTCGCAGACCTGTTGTACTGGATTGAGGCGGACACCTGCACCACACCAGGACACGTTAGCCCACAAACGAGCCTGCAGAGCGTACTGTATGACTTGGCTGGGTCAGGCCAGCCCGTCAGCCCTCTGAGATTCTGTCCTTTAACTGTAATGAGCCAATCGGCCCCCGAGACAGAGCAGTCTTTCAGGCGAGAGGCACTAATGCACTGTCTCTAAGACTCGGGTGTCTGCACGTTTGAACCTGCGAGCAGCGTACCTGTAAGGCTCCACTTGTCTGCAGTTCAACCGGACAGCGGACCACTTGACCTGCCCTCTCACAGGCAGGGTCACGCCCCACTGGGGGCTTCTGGTTACTCACATCTGCAGACAGTGGCCTGGGTCCTTCCAAGAAGTTATGAAAGACAGACTTTCGTCTGTGGCTGATTTTAAGTGGGTTTTTACTTTCTTACCCGCTAAGATCTAAATCCTGAGGTGACCCTGACAGATTTGGGTCACGGGACAGTGAGGTCCGGGCGGGAGGTGTGTGTGGCTGGGTCCTGGGCGTGTCGTGTGCGTGTGTGTGTAGTTGTACAGGCTCAGGCTCCTCGTCTGGGTCAGGATCCAGTGTGTCTCTATGTAAAAATAAGTATCTGCTTTCATTGCTACTGTTGGATTGTGTTAAATATAAAGTTTAAAAATATTCCAGGGACCTTACAAAATTGAACATTCAGAAGACATGACTGAATAATTTTTGACCAATTTGTACATTTTTTGGAAGGAATGAAAACTGTTGTGAACAGTTGTCAGAATTGTTTTGAGGCGAGGTCACTGCAGGCAGTGCTCGTAAATATTGAAATTGTTATAATTACAATTATTCAACAAATTAAAGCTGATTGTCTACCTCTGGGCAGCAGAGTGAGGGCAGACGCCTGTCTCAGCCTTACTGCCGGGCTCCAGGTCTGCCCTGGAGGAGAAGGCCGACTGAAAAGTTTCTATTTTACCAACTATATATTTTCTACATTTTCTTACGTTGCTGCTTTTAAAAGACCTGGGGCTTCAGAGCACAGTTGGCTCTTGATTTGTTGTAGGTTTATAAGGCACCAGTTAGGCTGAGGACGAAATAGGTGTGAAGAAACTGCACAGAAAAGCTTGAATGAAAGAGAGAGAACTGGTTTTCCAGAGGGAGAAATGCAGCACACGTTGCACAGGAGTGCAGTCCTGCGGATGTTGGGGTACAAGCTGGCTCTGTACCCGCTGTCTCGCCACACACCGGGGAGAAGAGGGGTGTGCGTGGGCCTGCGTTCACAGGCAGCCCCAGGTCTTCTGTATCGAGTAAGCTGAGTGGGGTGGAGGGGTTAGAGCAGACCTGAGATAAGTGCAGATTTTGGGGGATCTGTTGCCCCCTACAATTGCCTCTGTTTGCGGGTGTCCCAGAGTGCCCCCACTCCTCCAGCCCTGGTGCTCTAGGCTTTCCATTCTCACTGGGTCCAGATTGATGGACCGGTGTGCTGTGGGCCTGGAGGTGGAGCCCCCTGGTGGACTGGAGGTCCTGAGGTGGTAACAGGAGTTGGGGGTGGGGGGTTAAGTTACCTTGGTTGAGCCCATTGTAAATGATGACCTTTATTTCTGTTTTCTAGCAGGTGTGTGTAAACGAGATTTAAAGCCAGTCTGACTTCACTCAGGTGTTGTTGACACACAACCTTTTTTCTATTTTTTTTTTTAACCAAACAATGTAAGCATGTTTGTTTTTTTTTTATAGTTTTCTTTTTATTTCTCTTTAATTTATTATAGTTGCTTTTAATATTGGCGTGGCTAAAAAATTTTAAGATGTGGAACATAATGGATTGTTTTGCTTCATTGTTGTTTAGAAGCCAGGTTTTTTTTTTGGTTAGTTTTTAAAATCCAATTCTGAAAAATAAAATTCTGAATGAATATTTTGTGTGTGTATCTTCAGTTTGAATTCAGCAGGGGACTGTTAGCTGCGGTTCTGGGCCTCTCAGTGCAGTTTTAAATGCCGCAGCGCAGTGCTCCTGCAAGCCTGTCAGACAGGCGCCTTCTACAGATCTGTGAAGAATTACAGCTGGTAAGGGGGAACTGCAGTCCCAGGTTCTCAGACCAGTTATTAAATCTCAGTAATTCATTCCTTATAGAAAAACTGACAGATTTGGACTTAATCAAGAACTTTGTGATGTATACAGTAACTCTTACTTTCATTGTGGTTTGAAATGCACTCGCCAATCTCTAACCCCCGAAATATAAAAATAGCAGCGCAGTTTAAGACGTGACATCTAGACTGCCTGCACCCCCTCTTTAATCTCCCCATTCCAGAGCCCCTTTGGCTCTTCACCCTGATTGTGTCCTTAACCTGCTCGGGTCCCAGCAGTGTCCCCACCACACTGCCCCTGGCCTGGCTGTGGGCAAGGAGAGGGCAGGAGCGCGACATCTCTGGACTGGCTGGAGCCCCCAGATCCCTCTCGGGCCTGGGCTCCCGGACTGGAAGGTGCACTGGGAATTCAATTCAAGCTTTATTGTCCCCTGGGGGTAATGTGTCTTATGGCACAGTCAAACACAACACAATGACAAATACACATCCTCAAAAGGGAAGAGAATACAGAAGTGTTACAGGAGAAAAGAAAAAAGAGACAAGGTAGTGA